ATCTGTGTGTGTGTGTGTGTGTGTGTGTGTGTGTGTGTGTGTGTGTGTGTGTGTGTGTGTGTGTGTGTGTTTGTGTGTTATAGAGATTGCAGGTGGTTTGAGGACGCCACTGGTGGAATCTGCTTTTTCTCTTTCCCATTGCTGTTTTTGTCTGTCTGTCTTACTTACCCCCTTCTCTAAATGGCCTATATCTTGTCGATGCGCTTCTCTTATCTCAAACTGAACAAGGCGTTTTACAGAATACGCATGATTGTTTGTTTTTTCTGTTGAAAGGGAGACGGTCCTTACGTTAAGTGTTGTGCTTACGAAATCGAACAAGTTCTACTTAGGTCTTCTTCCGTTTTCGAGAACTTGTTAGGGAAGTGTTTTCTCAGAAGTTTATTTTTCTTTTAATTCGCAATTTTGTGTCACCTTGTGTCTGTGGTGTAGCAATAAGTCGCTTCGCTGTTGCACGAAACAGACGCGAGTTTGATACCGGTGTTTAGAGAATTTTTTATCGGGTATCTCGGTCTGTCTGTTGGGACGTTGCACCCTTTTCAGCTCTTGTTGGCCCTGACGGGCGGGTTCGAAGCAGCTCGCCTCCTGCCGAAGTGATCTAAATTGTTACTTATGGAGACAAAACAAATGTATTTTTATACGGTTGTCGCCGTACAGGGATAATTCCAATATTTGAACTCAGCCTAGTCAATGAATGAATTAAACCAGCTGTTGATCCAGGCGTTGTATTTTACATAGACTTCACAGTGCACGGTGTTGCCGTTTCGGTTCACCAAACAGTTCAGTCCCGACCAGGGGAAACTGCAAATTAGAATATGAGTAAAAGTGGTATTATGTGTCATTGTGGACACGGATACTTTTCTTTTCGCGCTGTTGCTGTGTTCAGTAGTTGAATTTTCTCGACTGGACTGTAATGTCGTCAGTTGGAAGTATACACTTCTCCTTCTGTCGGGAGTATTTCCCCCCCCCCTTTTTTTTAGTACAAGGGCTGCCACTGTAGGCGAATGTTTACCAGTTGCAAGTAATTTATGGGTTTTGTTTGTGGGGTCGTTAATTTTTTTTAACGTAGCCCAAATAGTGGGTTTTTTTTTCGAATTTCGTCTGGATTATGTGTGTCGTGTATTCACATGTCTGCCATTTTCATTGATAGCCTAGCTTGTGAGCTCCATGAGTCTGACAAGAAGACCTGGTCTGATTTTCTGTTAAGACTAGTGAAGTTCAGTTGTGTGGTATTTACAGGAAATTCTTTTGCCGTCTTTGATAAACAAGCCCGTTATAATTTGGTTTCGTGCGAAGAAGGAAGACACACATGGCCATGTCGAAGAGACAGGAAGGTTTTGACGTGACCATCACGTCGTCCGAGTTGCTGGCCGGTTATTCTCACCTCCACGGCAAACCGTCGCGTCACCGCGTGGTTCACGTGCCGTGTGCCAACTGCCGCCGACTTCGGACTTGGCATCGGGACGACAAGGCTGCAGCGCTCAGGCTAGAGGCTCTGGCCTTGACAGCTCTGGAAGGACGGATCATGTGTTTTAATTGCGTTAACAATAATCACAGTCGGTCGCACCATCGACATCGGCAAAATATTCATCATCACGTCGACGTCTCCGACTTCGTTAGTGATGGTGTCATGGACGCGAAGGGAAGACGGAAGATCGGGTTTTCGCCCGAATTGGACTCGTCGTCCCGTGACGATCAGTTCGAAACTCGATTTCGCCAGGCGGCTGAAGGTCGTTCTGCGTCGGAGGAAGGGGGCGTGGTCCCACCAAAAGTCCCCCCGCCCATTCCCTGCGATGTGGGCGGCGCTGCGTGCGGTGGGTGTGCCGCGGCGGGCGAAGGGTGCACTGTTGATTGGTGGCACAGGCAGGCGTATGCCGGCGCCAACACTACCGCCAGTCCGAAGGGCGCAGGGTCGCTCGAAGATGCGTTGTTGTCGTCATCGTCGTCTGAGCGGCAAGGTCAAGGCAAACATGGAGATGTGGGAAAAGGTCAAGGATTTGTGTGTCAGTCTCATAACAGTGTCAATGAAGAGCAGGGAATTCCCTCGGTAGTGAAAGAGGAGGAGGCGCCGCGGGAGCTGGACGAGGCAGAAATTCGTAGGTATGTGCACATCTCTGGCGGTTTTGACGTGGCTTTCACGTCGTCCGTTGTGAGTGGTTGGAGAGTGCCTCTGGTTAGCCTCATATCTTTACTTTCCCTCTACTGTTTTTGTCTGCCTTACTCCCCCTCCCCCATCCCAGCACTAAATGACCATTATTGTGGCGATGTGCTTCTCTGTATTCCAACAAACAAACAAACCTCTCCCGAGTTGGCTGGGTGGTTGTCCTTACTACTACATCAAACGGTGCGTGGTCGATAATTAATCTATACTTCGATTTATTGAAGATTGTTTTATTGATTGGTTGGCTAATGGCGCCAGTGGTGGTACACAAAGAAAACACGTGATCTTTATGTGCACGCGGTAGTAGATATTTTATTGATGTCTTCGCCTTTCTGCTCGGGGTTATACCTCGTATTCTAACAGGCATAGTCGGGGCAGTCTCCTTCCTAAATTTTCGAACTTGTGTTGATCTGGGCGTAACAGATGTATTGTCATTCTCAGATAGTTACCAATTTTCCGTGGGTGGTTGGTGGGTGCCCTCGTGTGGGTTCCTTCTTCTTCCCTATCAAACATCTACCTTCCTTATCTCCCTTTCTTCTTTTTTATGTTTGTTACTCTTTTGTAAAACCTCTAATCTTCTGGCGCTCATATGACCTTATGCAGTTGCGAGCTCCGTAAAACCTCTACTAAAACTAAACTATCGTCCCTATATAAATACCACCTCTCCTTCTTTTTTGTGTTTGTTACTCTTTTGTAATACCTCTATTCTTCGGCACTTACAGTTATATGACCTAGTTGTGTTACAAGTGCCGTAAAACTCTGTAGTATGTAAAACAAACATCCTAGTCTCCGTGGTTTAAGAAGAAGGCTCCTAGTTGTGGAGGAAATTTGTCTTGTGGGAAAATAGCAACGAAGACTTACTCTCTCTCTTTATTGTCGAGTAGATTGCAACCTTTTCAGTAACACTATTTACGAGAGATTTTGCAGTCGTCAAAAGGTGGAGATAATGGGAGAAAGCAACAGGTTTAGGAGCTTAATATGGTACAGGGACAACGAACGTGTGTCTAAACTGACAGATCGAAGGAAGTAAACACCAGATTGATTTACACCAAGTTAAGGACACTGGTGTGGTGATAGATACCACATAATCCTCTTATGTGTGGCATCGTAGTGAAATGAGGCGCTCGTCAAAATAATGAAATCGAAGAAACCGGTATTTTTCTGCCTGTTGGGTAATTTATGCAGATTTTTTATGTGGTTCCAACGTATTATGTCCATTTAGAACGCATTTGCGTGTATATTTTACAGAAAAACGTTGACGGAAGGCACCAAAAAAAAAAAAAGAAAAAAAAAAGATAAAATTGCAATTTCCAAGCTTTGCAAGTCACCACACTTTGACGGCTATTTTGTCGACACAATTTTGCCTCTGACACCAGATGACCACTGCCTGTAGTTGCAAATATCTTGACGTTTATTCAAGATGGATTGGTATTTTTCATCGAATATCAAGACAAATGGACAAGTTTTAAAATTGTACCAATAACTCTATATGTCCAAAACTGACGAGCGCCTGATTCCACCAAGCTGCAACACATGGTTTTATCGTACTTCCCTGTCCACATGAAAACGTGTTCCTATTGTTCACACATCTTAATGACTCCCTATATCAGTTCAGTGCACGCTATGACCTTCCCACCTGTATGTTTCTAGTTTTGCAGTGACCTTTTCCTTACAAAAAATAGCCAATGCCGTTTAACACTTCAGGTAGCTTTGCTAAAGTTTGCGAGTGGTTGGAGGGCACTACTGTTAGGTCCTACGTCTTTATGTTCCCTCTGTGGATTCTGTCTTACTTTTTTCACAGCACTAAATTACCATTATTGTGTCCAGGTGCTTCTCTTTACTCTACTCTAACAAACGAACAATATTGCTAAATGTTACTTTGTTTGACTCTTATGGCCTTTTTATATGGAACGTATATATTTGTTCCTGTGGAACTATGGGTTGCTTACGTTTTGATTTATTGTAAATGGTTTCATGTTAATCCGTATTTCTTCATATTTGTGGGCTTGGTAAAAGCCCCTTCCTACCGAACGTCGTTCAAAGCGCCGATTGCTCAGTTGATATAATTTTGCACTGCCTTGCAGGTGATCCTATTTTAAAGCCCCAACCAAGATTTCTGATACTTTGGTTGTCCGAGGAGTTCATAAGGCCTTTCACTCACTTGGTTCCATCGTATCCGAGAAGATAGTTAAATTAGGAGGTCTTGTCTCTCTAATAACTTTTCTGTCTTAAAAGGGGAACGATGCTCTTACCTTTCGAGAAGATGTTTGTAAAGAATCTCAAGGTTATACACTTTTAGCTCGGTAAAATGTTCGTTTGGTTACGATAACGCTTTTTAGGTTATAGTTCACAACTTTCCCAATAGTTTCCTGTTGTTGTGACAGGCACTCTTCCTATCTAGACAAGGGGGTCTACGAAAGATTGGAGTCTAGTTGTTGACATTTATTTTGTTTCGTCTACTTACTTATATATTTTTGACGGGTTCGTTTCTGTCCTGGTTTCTGGGACATGTATGTCACACATTACCATCCCACCTGCCGAGGGGACGTCGAGAGCCGTGCACTGACCTATGGGTTGTTGTGCTTTCATTTATACGTGTGTTCCGCTTATCTGAGTCTTGGGTTTATTGTCTCTATTTCTGTCCAACGAGTGTGGTGTTAGTTTGCTGGGGTTTTGTTTGTTTTGTTTTTATTTTGTTTGTTATTTTTTTTTGTACGAACGATTTGTAGTGCTGAGAGTGGCATTGTATAAATTTTGTCAACGGATACCAAGGTAAACATTAGCCCCGCTCTCTCGTCCAACTGCAGTTTATTAGTAAACAGGTTATGGTAATTGCCCCCCCCCTCCCACTTTTTTTTCTTCTCCCGGATCTCAACGAAAGGACACCTCGCCTGTCAATATAATGTATCACGCAGTATTTTGCATTAGTGAATTGTCTGAGCAAATAAAAATGGATAAAACATTGAGAAAGAATCAAACCTCACTACAAATCCACCGCTTCTCAGAATTGGAATGGGCTTGTGGTGTCGATACATTCCAAATATGAAACAGTGAAAATTGCGCAAATCGACTACTCATTGTCAAGGGAAAAAGTGGTTGTATTACACAAGTGGACTTCTAGGGCAGTGTCATTATTATACAATTATCCCTCCCCACCCCCGCAAAAAAACCAACAACAAACAAACAAACAAACAACGGCAAAACAAAAACACACACACAAAAAACAACAACAACAACAAAAAACGTGTGAGGGGAATTGGGAAGTTGTCGTTTCTGCTTGTTTTAGACATGTGGCCGTTAGAGCAGGTTCAAAGTACAGTGTATTTGTGATATGACATGCCTGTCTGTTCTTTCGCGTTGTTAGTGGGAGCTTTGGTATGGTCGCTCTTTCTGCTTCTTCTCGGCGCCACTATACGACAATTCTAGTCGTATTTTTGTGGGTGATAGGCGGGTGCTCTGATGTGGTTCGCTCCTTTTTTCCCAATCAAGCTTCTATATGTAGTCCTTATCTCTCCTGTTTATTTTCTTTTTATGTTACTCTCTAGTAGCAGCTCTGTATCTTTAGCACTCGTATGGCCTATTTGTGTTGCAAGTGCCGTAAAACTCGTACTAAAACTACTAAAATTATAGTCATATGAAATGATTTTGGGTGAAATGTACCAGCATCAGTGATGAAATGCTTAAACTCTCGGTCGTCGCCCACACAAAACCGGAGTCGATTCTCGCGTGGGAAAGATAATTTTTTGCTGTTGTTTTTAATCGAGTACCTCCTTCCATGTACAGAAAATCTTTGCCCCACTTAACGTGGGTCGACCTTGACAGGTAGCGTCGAAGATGCCTGATTAGTGCTTAAGAACATTAACACTTCATTCAAAAATTACGAAATGGTCTCTATCTTTGGCGACTTGCTCTTCATTACGGCACCAGTAACCTTTCAGGGCGTCCACCCTGACGTAAACATAGAACAAGGGGAGCGGGGAGGCTAGGGGCGCAGTGTCATCAGTGTTCGAGAACTGGACATGGCCTTTCTGCGTCGTCAGCATTTTGCTCGTTTCGCTTAGACTGAGACATTGGTGATGACAAGTGACATTTCACGAACGCGCACTTGAAGAGTCAGGTCACAACACGCAGGCTCGATACGTTATCTGTTTCAACATGTAAGCTTTTCAACATGTAAGAACGCTCGAATACTTAATGGGTGAGTGCTGCCATTGGTATCTATGTCTGGTCTGGTCTAGTCTGGTTGTCCGTCTGTCAATCTGTCTGGTTCTCTCTGCATCCTTTCCTCTCTGACCTTTTCTGTCGTGTTTCTCTTTCTATCCACGAAATAAATGTTTGTGCATGTCTGTCAGTCTCTGTGTCACTACATAATGCATGGTTGTCTGTCACTTGTTTCTCTTGGT